TGTTGTTCTTAGTTTTTAGTTTGATAGCGACATAAGGATTGCACAAAACGACAGAATGGGGTTTCATCGAATAGAACAATGGCAAAATGTGCAATGTTTTAATTAATACATGTTAAAATCGGTACAGAGAAATCTGCATTATTAAATTGGGTTGACGTTGTATCATTAGTCGAAACCAAGTCATATCATTAATTACCCAATATGCAAAATGAATAAACATTTTGAGAGCTACATTTTTATGATGACCTGTGTTGTAGCACTTTATGACATCCTACTCAACACTGCAAGCTTTCAAGTACGCACAAAGGAAGGTGATCAATGAAATAACTTGTTCAAAAGACAAACTGTTAAGGTTCAACATTCTGCTTTGTCGCTTCTTTTAGCAAATTGCAAACACCAACATCAAACTAATGCACACTGCTCGTGTACTCACGCTGGTGGTTAGCTGTGGATTTACCAAGCCACTGCCGGTTGATCCACTGACCATATCGTTGGTTGACTCGCCGTTTGCAGAGAGCGTTCGCTCGCGTGACGTTCGGCTGCCTTCCTCTGATGTGACTGAAGCCTCTCTTTACTGCTCACGGAAGCAGGCCAGCAGCGGAAACCAGAGTCACATGGACAAGCTGCAATCAAAAAAAGAAAAAGAAAAGGTTCTCAAGCAAGTGCGAAGGCTCAACAGCTCTCAACCAGCACAGCAATACGGCCCCCACACCCCACACACCCCTCACATCCCGCACCTCCCACCAGAAAAAAAAAAGAAGCTACGATTGGTAGCACAACTGCCACCGCAAAAACCTAACGAGAACACACCCTTGACACCCTCGACTCGTTCTGATCAGCCAACCGATGAGAGAGGAAACCACCAGACACACACACGCCCTTCCTGCACGGTGTTCGGCCTGTCACTGCAGCAGCCGTTCCAAAACACACAGATGCAGAACGCGCTTTAGTATTGAATTCATCCACCGGGGGCCAACGCAGCACATAGAGATAATGGAGGGCCCGCTTTTTTAGCACGCACCAAATCCCTGCACTATGCTTTAAGTGAATAAAGTTCTCTAAGGTTCGTCATTCAACACCGATATGTTTCCAACATGGCTTCTGTCAGTAACCAACTTCCCTAAACACAGGCCCTCCGTCGGTCAGGCCCCCTAGTCTGCTTACGTGGACGTGTTTCCATCCCGTTTCTTAATAACCAGCTGCGAAAAGCACACCAGCTCTATTGTTACGGTTAACTTAAATCTGCCTGTTGGGCTGTTTCTCCTCCCAGTGGATGAGGGAATAGGGAATAGGAATCAGGAAGTCATGGCGCCATCCTCGTAGAGTTGATTTGTTGGTAAAGTTCCTGCTTTTTTACAAAACATCTCCAGCTCTCACCTCTGGCTCTGTTACGAGTTTGGACTCATAACAGAGGAATACAATATAAGATCCCACATTGAATATAAGATTGGATGTGGGATCCCAGAGGCATCCTTGTCCTGTGGGTTCGTACCCTTTATCTGTCTACTGACACTACTAAAATCGCATTAAAAGAGAAAATGTATTAAAGAGGCTATAGCATATCTATGATTCTGCCGGCAACTGGCAGCCAACGGTGGCAACAGCGCTGACTGAGATCATTATTATTTATTTCAGTACAGCTACGAATCATTGTTTTTAAGACAGGGGCCTCATTAGGTTCTTGTGAACACAACAACAACGCACTCCTGCACTCATATTTCTGGGACCTCGATGGCATCACCCTACAATTCCTGCCTGCACTCGGTAGAGAAGCTTACGACACGCTTTTGTCTCAATAAACTTCAGACCAGTGAACACAGCAGCCCTGTCTTTGTTCCTTTAAATATCACACTGTGTCATTTCTTCAACCACGTGCTGTCACAAATACGAATACAAATATAAGCTTTCCGGTCGAGTAAAACCTTCATGTATATCCGATGCGTTAGTGCGGTTGAAGTGGAGGACATTTTTAATTTTTGATTAAAGATTTGACAAGCATGAGCCTGGGAATTACTTTTCAGAGTCTTTTTCGGTTGACGGTTAGGAGCTGATACAGGCGTGTTCTACCCTCTTGTCAAAAAGTGTGAGTGGTTTCTCTGGAGTCAGCGTGTCCGTTCTGGGCTACTCCAGAAACTGTGGCTGCCTTCTCAAATCCCGACTATGTATAGTCGTACCGGCACGCATCACCTGTTTTATTCTCCTGTTCTAAGCAAACGGACAGAAAGCAGCTCTCACGCTGTGTGCATGTGTAGCAGAAGGAGAAATCCAATGTCATGTCTGTCCCAATAAGACATATTGCAAAGAGCTGACGAGGTGATGTTACAGTTTGGGTGTAAAGTCTCATGGGTGAGTTAGGATGTGAGCAACTAAAGTCCTATGAAGAAGCACCACTGCAATGAGGGATAATAAATAACGAACATATGCACAAATGCTCACGTTAGAATATACCGATATACATAGTCGATACAAATGTAATTCCTCTCTTTGACCTAAACATCATTTTTTTTTGTAATATCTCTAAATACTGAAACAATATCTAAATATTGTTTCAGCATGAACCTGAATCTACTGCTGCAACACCAACAGATATAAAAAGTTAGATTAATAAGGAAAAGTGCGGTGGAGAACTTATATTCTCTTTGTTGTTGGTGCACATGACTTTCTAGGACGTGAGGCCATTTGCACAACATGCACATCTCAAGATGCTCCCTGCCCCCTTGTGGAGACTGGGAACATTGCGTATTCACAACCACTAGTGCAGGTATAAACCCATATGACCACAAACATGACAGAAGAGGACATTTCTTTAGCTACGGTGTCTGCAAATAGCTTTTGTGCTGAACTGCTGGTAGACGGTTTAATACTACAGACCTACAGTTAGTCTCTCCACCCGCGGTGGCAGTCAAAACGATGAAGGGCGGAGAGGCTAACGAGAGGCTGACAGCTTGGCAAACAGGCGTTCAGGGTCAGAGCAGGACAGAGGTGGCTGGAGATGCTGCTCTGCAATAGGAGATACACACACTGTGGGGAAATGCAACGAGAAAGGGACAGCGCAGACACACCGAGGGGACAATCCTCTTGATATTGGCTGTACATCTTACAATGAGTCATTCGGTTATTGAAGTGGTGGCCCTCGGAGATCGACAGAGCTGAGGCAGAACACTGCGTCCCGGGCTGGGATCTGTTTTCCTTTTTATTTCCTATTGATGAAGCTTTGTGTCTTTGTGGGCGGTGCATGTTGTTTATGTCTCTTAATTCATTTATGAATCCCGAGGATCTGGTTCAGCACATCAACAACTGCAATGTCTCTCTTGAATGTGTTCCTGTGTAGGATTCCTCGTGGCAGACATAAAAAAACATTAAGTTACCCGAGTACACTGTGAGTCAGACATTGTTAATTACTGCTTTAATTTAGCTAAGCTGAACAATGCTGTCTAAAGGACTGATTTGATGAATATAGCAGCAGCATATAGATATAGTGAGTAATGTCTATAACGTCACCCTTCCCTCTGTGTGTGTGTGTTGCAATCAGAGCATCTCCTTGTGCTTTTAGCGTACGTTGGTGCGCGTGAGGAGCCCCACTGGCTGGCTGATGGCTGCTGGTCTGCGCCGCCTCTCATGTGATGGAAACATCTGATCAGGAAAACACTTTCTAGTCTTTCATTCCATTACATTACATTACATTACAGGCCATTTAGCTGACTCTTTTATCTAAAGTGACTCACATTGCATTTTTAACCCATGGCTTTTACATTTCAGCCGGGGAGCAATTAGAGGTTCGGTGTCTTGCTCAGGGACAGTTCGACGTGGGACATGGAGCAGCTGCACCCTCTCTACTCCATGCACCACCATCAACCCTTTCTTTGTAGTTTTCACTGTTACCAACGTTAACCGCTAGCTGCCCGCTCGCTGGTCCAGGTGTTGAGAACCGAGGAACAAGGGGGAAGGAAAGTCCTCCCAGTTGTGGATGTTTAAAACCAGCAATGAATGCAATGTGAAGCTCAACGTGTTTTGGAAAAACTATGAGGTGTTGATTGCAGTTATTTTTTTGGGGGCCATATTCCGCCACCGGAAACATCCTGATGTAATCTTCCAGCTATTGTTTTGAGGGAGGACCGTTGGGCATGTATGATTGTGATTTTAGGAGCCTTTTCGTGTAATGTCACACAGTGTTGTCGTGTTTATGATCCTGCAGCAGCAATAATCAAGCCGCTAATTTTCCCTTGAACACACACAGTAAATCGTTGTTTGCTGCTTTATTAATGCTCTGAATGTTAGATACAACTCCTTAAAAAGTTTAACGTTGGCAACCATATTGTTATTCTGCACATGCACACGGGCGCACATTGTGAGAGAGTTTCAATTCCTGTCTGTACTCTGTGTTGTTATATGCTGCGACCTTGGTGTTATTGTCACGCCGCCGCTAGGATTCAAATACAGACAGAGCTTGATCAGATGATGGGACTGTGGCCCCGTGACTCGACAAACTGTGTTGTAAACCGACCTCTCGATGGCGTGATAGAGGAGACAGAACGTTGCCAAACATGTGGCTAACAATGTGCATTTGCGGTGGAGTAAAAACAAAATATTGCATAAATACACCTGTAAATAAATATGCCTCATGCCTGGCATTAATCTCTTCATTAAAAGTGCTGTGCGACTCCAACGGTAAACATAATACTTTGCCGTATTACTTCCTGTCCGCTGCGATAGGCTATTAGCATGAAATGGTTTTATTAATAGCTGCTATTCTAGGCCGGAACAGCAATCCACACTTGTATTGATCCATGGAAAAAGATGAGGGCTGAGCACAGATTATTTTTCACATACAGGCAGGAACACTTAGAGCAGAATGGACAGCTTTGACTTGATATGCTTCTCATGTATAGTCTCTCCGTGTGGCGTGTACTATGAACGGCCTATATTATGGTGCAATTCATTTATATCACATTTGCAACCATGGAAACATGTAACATGGCGCAGCCGTGGATCAGCAGCCGTCAAACATCAAACCATCTTTATTAGAAGAGTGGCATCATGTAGACTTTATTTTCAGGCCTTATTACCATACAGTATATATAGTACCATAGATAAAACACATGAAATAAATAGTGTGTAATACTACAGTAGCACATTAAAAAGGACGCAAACGAACATGATACAGCTATAGCCTTCCACCATTCCTGGATTGGTATATCAAAGCCCAGTTATTATAGCCTTTAACCCAGTATCCATGCACATGCATGACAGTTGGTCCGCATGTCTTCTTTGTTTGCCTTATAGCGATCAGGTCACATTGATTTTGGCATATAACTAATATACTCCAGAAATCGATTACAGTTAAACTGCGTTACTCCTTTACCTCATACAACAGATCGCGAGAACAACTACTGTTCCACGCGTTAAAAACAATGTCTTAAAGTGTTTGCCACGGGTTTAGAATAGTTTTGGCCTCATTCAAGCCGACATAAATTCTCAGCTAAATGTCAGTGACAGACGGAATCGCGTGAACTTAAATAACGGCCACTTCCTCGCTGACACCGAAACATGTGACCGTTCCTTCTCCGCTGTACTTTCAGTCCTTGTGTCGAGCTGCAAAGGAAATGCCCGCGGTTCTCTTGGCGACTGTGTGTGTGCGTGTGTGTGTGTGGGTTTGTGTGAATAGTAATTCAGCTTGGAAGGAACACAATTCAGCTTTGGTCTCCAAAACACAGTCTGAAGTCTGTCGACATAAAATAGTCTTGTTAGTTCTGGCCGGGGCGCAGGTCGCTTGGCGTCTAGCCGTCCAGAGGGTTTCCCAGGTACACCATGGTGACTTCGGTGTTGCCGTACACGGCAGAGACCGCTGGGAACAGGCAAGCTTTGGGCAGTCCGCGAAACGCTATGCCGAGAAACTCAAAACCCCTCTCGAAGGCTAACGTCTTGTCATCCATGTCTAGAATCACTCGTATTCTCTCCCCGATCTGCGGACAAAGACACGACAAGTCACACAATCATCCCCAATGCATTCGCAGTTATTCTTGGATGGTCCTAAATGGAATGAGGGCACAAACAAACACAAGTGCCACCAGCTCCCATGTACCTGATATTTTGGCGCATTGTTACACTGGGGGAAATTTCCATTGACCTCCCCGTTGTGCAGCAGGTTGTTGTCCACCAGGTTCCAGCCCCAGCTCTGGTCGTCACTGCCCAGCAGGGCCACGTAGCCCTGGCACTGCATGGACGCCCGCTTGGTGGCGAGGCCGATCACCGCCACGGTGCCGAGGGGGCCCTCCCACCAGATCTCCCAGGCGTGCCTCCCCTCGGCAAAGCCGATCTTGCCGCGAGCGCCGTCCGTGCTCTGGGCGATGGGGTTGCGGTGCAGGGTGAAGCCGTTCTTCTTCACGTAAACGTTGCGGGAGCAGTCGTGGGAGCTCAGGGCGTATTGGAAGGCCTTGAGCTGTGAAAGGACAGTGGGACAAGGCAGCGGCAGCAGCTTTGGTCAAAAAGCCATTTGCGTTTGAGTGATTCTGTTGCGCATTTGTGTGTCGGGGTCCAAATCAGAAATAGAAATACATATATTATATTTGGGAATTGTTGGGTGCTATAGTTAAAAAAAGGAAAGCCCTCTTGTGTGTCCCAATTGGTGAACACTAAAGTTCTGGGAGACACATACTGTAGATGCTTGGATACAATACAGGACCGAAAGTATTGCACCAATCAGAGCTCCAAGCTTCTGTAAGGTCTTCATCCCTTAGTTTTATATGTAAATGATAATGGCTGCCTGAGATGAATTAATCTACCTTTCAAAGGAATGTCAATTTTCCAGAGTAGCACGTGATTTAACTGGATCAGTGGTCCTCAACACACGTTTGAGGGACCTTCAAGGTGCATTGAAGACGATCTAGGTCTCAAAGACTTTTTTCACCCCATGGAAAAAAAATCAAGAATGAAATTATGACATTTTAGTCTGCTCTTAGGTTTCAATTACAGTGGGCCAATTATTTCCCTGGTGCAAGTATCCAATCATAAACGGTAACAGCAACCTCCTTGTTAGGTCATGTCATGAAATCGAGCGCCATGATGGAGCCAATGACAACAAAACGCATCATTTAGCCAATCAGATCCCAACGATAACCCCATTTAAGAATCTGCCAAGTGGGTTACTGCTACTTTGTAAATGTTAATGAGAAGCCGCACACGAAGCCTCTTCTGGCATAAAGCATTATTGCTTATGGAGTCATCCATTTGGACAGGATGCATTTGACCACATCATGCGTCCGTCCAGTTAACGTGGAGGGGGGGGGGGGGTTTCAGAGCACGTAGCAACACACAGGCAGATTTCTTTTGAATGGGGGTTCCTCGACAATCCCAGTTTCCCCCCCACCCCCAACCTAAAAACAACAGCGGTGTGCGGGTAAACCTACTTTCCCCTTGTAGGTGGGCAGGTTGCACAGGATGTCAGAGCGCAGAGCTTCGTCGCTCATGGACCGGCTGCACAGGCTGCGCCACACCTCGCTGTTTTCATCCGACAGCATGTGGTTCCAATGCCAACAGACCAACGCGCAACTAATCAAGTCGGAAAGGTCCAAGTACGAGAATACGTGCTCCAGGACCCGAGCTGGCAACCTCCCGGCCGCCCCTGCGCCTCCGCCGGCCGCAGCGGCGTAGGGAGAGCCGGCGGAGCTGCAACTGGCCGCCGCCGCCGCTGCGCCCTGACAGGAGCCTCCTCCTCCCCCACCGCCCGCTCCAGACATTACGGCTCTACGGATCTTTACCGACGACTCCAGTCGACCGAATTATGTCGCCTAACAACGTAGAAAGGGCCCTAGTGTGGGGTAAACAGGCACATGTTACCTCTAAAATCACATACAGGTCGCAGTAAAACCACAACAGTATGGACCCTCCTCTCCCCAGTTCAATGGCTGAATGGAAGCGATGCGTCAAGGTCCTTGAAGAACGGATTCACACGTTGTCGCGCTGTCCAAGAAAGACGTAATTTAGATTCTAAAACAGTATTCATTCAATTACCTACAACGATAATTTGGCAAATATCAGTACTAGTACATTTTAGATCAAGGAAAGCCGTTGCCAAATGAAATGTTTCTTTCCCCTGCCAGGACCGCGGAGTCGCCATAGTAATGAGCGGCGGATTACCACAGTGTTGCAGTGTTTCAGATGCAGGACGTTTTCTTAATGTCACTGTTTAACAACTATGTGGCAAGAAAATCCCACGACAAAGTAACTGTAAAATTGCATTAAAAAGATGTAAAAGGATTTATCGACCTGTTACGTCATTTATACAATCGTTGTATAGTTATAGAGAACGTTATAGAGAACGTGCTTGTATTGGGAACACTTTCGAGACACAAATGCGTCATTGTGTAAAGACGACGGAAAAAAACACAGTAATAAAATGGTTCCCATTCTAGTGAAAGCAGTGTAATATTTTCATTTTCGCCACGTGACACCACACGGAAGTGACGCGGATGCTCAAAAGAGTTCAGCAAAGCATCTGGGAGCAAAACAGCAGCTAGCCTAAATAGATTTACCACCAGAAGACCAAAGGGACGGGACTAACGCACGATCCGAACACTTAACAGTAAGTCTCCGTCGCATTATTCTCCACATTTAGAAACGAAACAAAACGTCCGTTTTTTTTTTTATTATTATTTTTGTCCGGGTCGTCCGCGAGGGAGCGTCGCGAGCCGTCCGGCTGTCCGTCTCCTGCGCGGCCTGTTGACAAGCTGCCCCCATCTGGCTGCCGCCCGGGGAAAGTCCGGCGGCTTGTCGCCCGGTGGTCCGGCTTGTCCCGGGTTGTCCCGGGTTGTCAGCGGGGGTCAGTCGGTGTGCGCAGGAAGCGGCTCGCCGCGGCGGCCGCGCTCAGCTGGCGGCGGGGCTCGTGCGGGTTAATGAGGCTCGCGCGCTAAGCTAGCTGACGATAACAAAGCCCCGCTGCGTTCACCTTTTAGGAATTCTTCTACTTGCAGGTTGCCATCTTTATTTTCATTTTTTACGTTTTTTTTTTTTTTTGCAGGCAACATTTCCAGCGTCATTGTTTTTTTAAAATGCCTCTCGTTACACAACCTGGATCACCGAGGCACGATACAAAAAACGCTTCCATGCAAACCCCGATGATCAGTTTATTAAGACGAAGGGGGGAAAAAAGGATAAACTTATTGCATTGCGTCACACTCTCCGCTCATGTCGACTTTGTGTTTTGGTGGAAGAAAACAATAACTGGTCAAATCTTTAATACAGTTTGGGACATTTTGTCCATTTGAAAACATGATTTGTCCAGGACGGTCAGGTGGACGGACAGATTATATTCTGGTTTCAGGTTATTTGGGTTTGTAGGACGCTCTCCGTATTACGTAATGTGCTAATGAATGACACACTAGAAATAGTGTTTTACATGTTTACGATTTACCTCCATGTCAAATCAAGTATAGAAGTGATGCGTTCCCGTCCCTGTTTTAAATTGTCCTTGAATCAGCAGACTTGTACAGTGATGTAATGGTTTGCGGACCACCGCTAGAGGGCACTTGTTGTTATTTTCATTTAATGAGCATCACGTGTAGCAGGAGTCGAGCCTTTCCCTTGTGTATCGGAATTTGCGGACAGTTGTAATAAAACAGCTGCAACTGATTTTTTGAAATGATTACAAATGCGGGTGTATTCTGCTTTTGTTTGCACCGTATCAGAAACAGAAGCCATTTATTGCCACATATGTTCCACATAGAGGAATTGGATTGGTGCAATATAAGAAGGAAATAAGATAAAAAGAGAAACCACTGTGCACAGTGGTTTCTTTTACTATATTCTTATATTATTCTGCAAAATGTTTCCGGGACGGATTATTGGGTCAACGGGGAACTCAAGCTTAGTTCATGAGACGAAAAGATTTGCGAGAGGTCCTGGTCCTGATGGACCACAGCCTCCTGCCAGATGATAATACACAATTACAGATCAATTACTATGTAAGGAATATACATAGAATCAATCAGATCTAGCAAGTGTTTATACTTATTTAAGAAGTAAGGGGAAGACACTTTAAATCACAATGGAGCACCCATTGCACGCTGGTCTTCTTGAGTATTCTGTGAAATAAAAACGATATCCCAGTCATCAATATGTATGAACCGCTTTTGGAAGATGAAGAACGATGTTGTGACGACGACCTGGCAAGGTCACAACATGTAAGTCACCGTCAGTCCTCGCCGTTCCCCCTCATGAGCGGATATCACATTCCCCCAGCACAACCTTTTTGTTCCAAGCACTGAAATGTCAAGACATTTGGCACGATCTCTTTTTAGCAGCGTGATGCCAATGTCTACGCTTTTCTCTCTGTCTGTGAGGTCGCTTTGGGAAAAGTCTGATTGGAGGACCGCTGTCAGTTGAATCTGTGCTACATTTACCCCGATGATCTTTGCACTACTTTTGTTCATGAAATGCACATGTCCTTTTTCACTGCAGCATCCGTGACGAGGCGTCCATTATGAATCCGGTCTACAGCCCTGCAGGGACAGGGGTCCCCTTCACCAACACTAAGGGTATGGGCTACCCAGGTAAATCCCCCGTGCTGACGTGTGATGGTTTAAGCAAATCTCCTGACTGCAATAGAACATCCTGAAATCAAGCCGATTACATTTTTATTCTCTGCTTTTGTTCACTGCAGCGGGATTTCCTGTTGGCTATGCAGCAGCTCCTCCAGCATACACTCACAATATCTATGCAGGAGCGAACGCCGCCTTCCCCGGGGGTAAGAACACCTTTAACTATGTGTTTGCACGGCGCACGACATTCGCTAATGGAGAGTTTACAAAGTTAGTGCTGAGGCGAGGACGTCAACGCCTCTTCAGGTTGTAACTAGGTCAGCGTTTCAGCCCGCGGACCTTTTCTTAAGATGCGGTTTGCATTCCCAGATTTCTTCAGCCGCTTTCAGAGAGTATTTGGCAGGACTGACTTTTACTTGTCCTCCTCCCACCCAGGCTACGCTCCAGGCACTCCTTTCAAAATGTCCTGCTCTCCCAACAATGGGACTGTCCCCCCGTACTCCTCCTCACCCAACCCTTACCCTGCTGCCGTTTACCCGGTCAGGAGCACCTACCCCCAACAGAACCCCTATGCACAGGTCAGTGCGACGAGTGACCGGTTTTTGGTCGTAGTTGTGTTATTAAAGTATTCTTCAATCCCCTTTGTTTGAACGTTTTAGTTGTTTTTTTTTTTAGTATTTTTGTGCTTCTTGGGTCCAGGCACTAATACCTTCACAACAGCAAGGCACTTATTACACACAGCCTCTGTATGCCGCACCGCCACACGTTATCCACCACACCACAGTGGTCCAGCCAAATGGGATGCCCGCGGCCATGTATGCCCCGGCCATGCCCCCCCAACGCCACAACAGTGTCGCCATGGGGATGGTAGCCGGCACCACCATGGCCATGTCAGCTGGTGAGCGTCCGTTTGTGTTTCTAGTTATTCAAACGATATCTTTTTTATTTTGCAGCGACGCATTCATTTGAAGTAGATCGACGCCCTCTTTGGATGTTGTGAAAGTGTATTTTGCATCACTTTGCTTCTCAGGAACTCTGCTGACAACTCAATCACCAGCGTCTGTTGCCCCCCACCAAGTCACGATGCCCACATATCGGCATCCCGGCACACCCAGCTACAGCTATGTGCCGCCACAGTGGTGAAAAGAAGAAAGCGTGAGTAGTCTGTTTTTTCTCTTTTTTCCCAGCTGTACTAAAGTCAGATATGGTTTCATGGTGTTTGCATGCATTCAACATGTGTGTTGTTTCCTCTGTTGTTTACAAATGTATATTTCTACATGTTTTTCTCCTGCAGGTCAGAAGATGGTAGATATGCATTCACACTCCAGTGTTTTTTGCTATTGGGGAAGACCTGCCCTGCCAGTGTCTGCAACCAGTTACTCTTCTTCCAGCATAATGTGAATCTTAAACCTAACTACATAGAAAGAGGCCCATTTGGATAGGAGGGGGTGAAGAATAGGCCCATCCCCATGACCCCTCTCAATGGAATAAGGCTGCATTCCATGTCACACCCACAGCGCCAGCACCTCCTACGACCTGCTGCATATCTCACGTGTAACAGCAACGCCTCCATGCAAACTTTTTTTGTGGATTGTCATGCAGGTTTTTTTTATAGCTTAAACTATTAAGTGGTGAAAAGGGAGTTTGGAATAGTTTTTTTTTTTTTTTGTTTTGTTTTATTTGGGGGATTCATATGATGTTGAATGCATGCATGTGTGTGTGTGTGTGTGTGTGTGTGTGTGTATATATATTAATATATATAATATATATACATACATATAAATATATGTGTGTATATATATATATATATATATACATACATATAAATATATATATATATATACATACACATAAATATATGTGTGTATTCATATAAATACATATATATGTATTTATATATGTATATATATATATAGGTATATGAAGTAATGCTAGCGCAATCTACCTGCTGCGACAGATGCAAAATCAAGAAAAGGCACACGTCCAAAGGAACAAAAAAAAAAAGAAAAAGTAATAATCTGCAATGCTGAATCATCAGTGACCATATTTTACATGTGAAAGAAGAAAAGGCAAGACATTTTTATTCATGCAACAATTTCCCTGCACAAACATGTGCAAAGCGAACCGTACTCTTTTCACCGCTTTGTGTTCTGGTATTTGGAGCTAGGTTTTATTATTTCTCTCGGTCATGCAGTGTATGCATTTCGTCTTACCATTTTTGTATTTAAGGAAAGCTGGACTTTGAGTTTGTGCCTCTGTCTGGTGGCCATTACAACACTTTATCATTCTGAGGGTTATTTTTTCTGTGCTGTCAGAACTTTTAGGAAAAGAGTACCAACTTTTCCAAAGGTGAAAAGCAACTTTGGGTTCCTGCTTTTTTTTTTTTTTTCCTCCTGAGTGATTTCAATGTTTTTAGCTATTCACTTATTTTAGCCCAAAGCATTCTTGGTGGGGAACAAGTAGAGGACGTTTAGGAAACCGTTTGCACCCATTTAAGGGTGCAAAGTGGATGAGTAAGAACAACATTGTGTGCGTGCGTGCGTGCGTGTGAGTGAATAATTGACGAGTGAAATAGAAACCATTCAAAATGGTGCCATATAGTGTGATGCCTCTAGAATATTCAACCTTTATCTCACAATAATCAATTTGCTCTTAGGTAGGTCTAAAGGGGTCGTCGTGGCGCAGGGGTTAGAGAAGGTGTGCTGGGAAGCACGAGGTTGGTGGTTCAATTCCAGGCTGCCCTGTGTTCCATGTCGAAGTGTCCCTGAGCAAGACACCTAACCCCTAATTGCTCCCCGGGCAAAAATGTGAAAAAAGCCATGGGTTTAAAGTGTAATGTAAGTCGCTTTGGATAAAAGCGTCTGCTAAATGACATGTAATGTAATGTACATAATTGAATCATGCTAATTGTGGACACGTTAGGAAAACATGGTATTGTTAAACTATTTGTGAATAGCACTACTGAAAGAAGGCACTAATTCCAAACAGTAGAGATATCTGACCTTTTACATTGCTCGCGGTTTTACCTCAAGGTTCCAGGCTAACTCACCAATATCACTGTTTCAGACATGCTTTTCTATGTTGCCTCAGTCACCTCAGTTAAATAATCTGTTTTGTAAATGTTATTTTTGTGATTTTGGTTCTTGTTTTGTATTCTAAAGAAAGACCAAAAATAAACAAATATAAGAATACTCTATGTTTCCCCTTTTATTTAAAACTTTGCGCTGAATGCCCACCTGGCAGATTGCACCAGTAAGCAAGGCAAAAGAGAAGAACATTTAAAAACAAGAATACTGAACAGACAAAGCATTATCCTTGAAGTGGCGTTTGGTTGTGACTCCGGGAACAGAGAGGAGACCCGACCCGGACGACCTCAGGGGTCCGCATGGTTCAAAATGTGGCCGCGGGTCAGACATGTATTTTGGCCCTAAACCATTCAGCGCTTTAAGAACCAACAGCAGGGTTTTAAAATCAATCGTCCGTTGGACAAGAAGCAAGTGTAAAGACCGCAGAACTGGACGGGGTCCACCTCCTCTACCTTAGGGAGGACTCCAGCTCCAGCGTTCTAAATATCACTGTATCAAAAGCATTTTTTTCTGCAGTCTATCTCTTGCTTTGGTAGAAGAAAGATGTCCTTTCCTAGTGCATCACGTGAGACAGACACACACATTTATTTATTTATATATATATATATATATCCCTTTACGTAGACACGTGGCCGGCCTAATGCTCGGTGCACTAGTGTAAACAAAATGTAAATCGGAAAGGACTGATTGTTTAGTGCGGGTATTGGTGGTTATTGGGGCGTTCAAACAGGAGAGGGCGCTGGAGGCAAAGGGGGGGAAGAAGGAAGTGAGTTCCCGGCATGCATTTCGGCGCGCCAAATTGGACTTTATTTTACACACACAAGAGCACCATCCCGGAGTAATACTCGTACTGTACTAGCAGGAACATGGCAGCCTAACAGCACTAGTCTTTCCAACCCGTAATAGTTGTATTGCTGTACGTGTCGCTCACTTCCAAAGGCGGCCGTCGTAGTTGAACGTGACGTTATTCAAGCGTTATTCACGTGTGTTTACAGTCGGTGGAGCGCGCGGCGCTGGAGCCCTTCGTGTTTCCATACGTCACAGTTTAAGGTCAGTGTCTGTGGGGAAAACGTCACTAGTGTTTGCATTGTGTGTTTTGTGGTCCGCACACACTGGAACACGCAATAAGTGTCACGGGCGAAGGAAGTGGTGCGTTTGGCTAAAGCTAGCCGAAGCTAATAACGAACCCCTGTAACAGCTGATCTGCGTTGACGGCACTGAGCGCTTCCAGCATCTCCGTTCAGTGTTTTACATCGAGAAAAGTACCGCAGACGGGTGTGGCACAGCTCTGAGCGGTGGGTGGAGGATGAGCAGCGCAGACCCCCACCCATCGGACCTCTTTGACAAGCTATGGGGGCAGCTCCGGGAGACCCATCGGGAGGCTCTTCAAGGTGACTCACGCGTGGACTCGAGTCCCTCAGTGTGGTTCGTGCACCTTCTGCAGGCCGTGCGTGGTGTTTCACGGTCACAGCGTTTGGTTTTTCCTTTTTAGATGCTGAGGACAAAGTGAGCAAGTTGAAGACGGCCCGCTATCTGTGAGTGTTTTTGAGTGTTCCATTTTATAATATTAAAACAAAGATGATCATGTTTTACTCTTTGCATTCTCTTCGCTCAGAGATGCCGAGAGTCTCGAGGCGTTTCACTTTCGTACCCAGCAGCTCAAAGAGGAAAATAAAACCCTGCAGGAAACCGTCAGTCGCCTGGAAGAAAGGTAACTTCATTTCATTTGAACTTTGCCAAAAACAAGACGCGACAAAGACCCAACGACCTGTTTCCCGTCTCCAGGCTCGGCACCGGAGAGTGTGACCGATGTGCCGTTTTAGAGGAGAACCTGAGAAACAACCAGGACCAGAATGTGCGCCTCGTCGCCAAACTGAGTGAGTTTACTCCTCGTTCGTATTATTCCATCGTCACTCAACACCCTTTCCTTAAAAACAAACACTTAGTGCTGGAATCCCTTTGAGGACAGTAGATCGACTGCAATTTCAAGACCAAATACAGACATTCTTTTCAGCTCTTTGCTCAGGACAATTACCCCCTGCAGGACAAGGGTCATGGCACGCTGCTTTAGTTCTTACCTAAAGATCTTCACATGTCCACATTATTTTGCACTGCAAGCTTGTTTTCTCGAGAATCACTTAACTACTGTATGTTGTGTTTGTGGTGTTAATAGTGACTAGATACGGCTGGTCAGTTGTCAGTAATGGCGACGCCTGTGTGCTGTTTTTCCCGCAGAGAACGAGAGAGAGCGCCTCGAGGATGAAAACCGAAAGCTTCACGCTGAACTGCAAAAAATCAAGATATCTCGGTGAGCTCTTCAGTGTGTTAGAGCCGTGTTTTGTTAACATTTTCTCTTTGACTTTGAACAAAATGTTTTGTCAAATAAAGGAATTACAGGCAATTTTTGTACATATTAATCAGCCTTTTTGCTGCACAGGTTTCCCAGGACAACCTGAAATGATTGTGGTTTCACTTCTGCTCTGATTGCATTTCAGGGGTCCTCCATTTATCTCTGTGGGGGGACACACCTGCAGCTCTAGTTTAAGCTGTTGTGTTCATTCCCCAGTTAAATATTGCAGGTGTTGTTTTTTTCCCCATCAGCTTCGAGCCCCAGCAGGCCTCAACCTCGGAACCAGAAGAAGGCATCATCCCGGACTCGCCCATCCTGATGAGCTCGCTGCCTGTTCCCAACAAACTGAAGAAACGGAAAGACGTGGACAAAGGGAAGCACGTTCGATATGCAGAGATGCCTCTGCCGTGCAAGTCGCTCTTCAGCGGTCAGTCGGTATTAAAAAACGGTTCAGATTTTCTCAATCGAGTGCGGGATTCCGCCAAGTCTCCTAACGTGTTTGGTTCTGTTTCTATAGCACCGGATACGCAGCCCGTTGACGCTACAAAGAGTCCTGGAAGACCACAAGTGCTTGTTCCTGACACATGTGTACTGGACTCATCCCAAGTCTTGAGTATTAATTCATCCCCTGTATTCTTCAAGATATCTTCATTATTTCATCAATAACAAATGTGAAAACAGGAAGACTACGTCTAGTTTCTAAGAAAAAAATGAATGGGACGTTGTATTTATTTCCTTCCTTTTTGATAGCTTGTCTATTACTCTGTGATCAAGAGGAGCACTGTGCGGTATTCATCTGCACATACACGCCCATCATATCAGCCTGCATAGACAGATTATTACTCAAGTGTTGAGGCCTCTTCACTTGGAGGAGTGATACATAAAAAAAACTAAAACCTGGGCTGATAGACAGGATTTTTATGTAGACCAAATTCTAGCATAGTAATCTGGGAATTTGGGTTTGAAGAAGATGGAAAATGTTTCTGTGAGATGTGTACAGGGTTTTTGTGTGTCTGTCTCTATTTAGACGACGTAAATCCGAACCAGGAAGAAGCGATAGCAGAAACCTGCGGCCTTGAACTCCGTGACAAGCCTTACGTGGTGCGTTTGTACGGTATAAAAGTGAAGCATAGACATTGTAATGTTTCCTGGTTGTTGTTTTTTTTAGAAAACTTCAGAAGAAACTCTCCCTTTTTTAAAACTTGTGCCATTTCAATATTTTAAATTGGTCCATAACCAACTGACTGCAAAACTAAAATGGTTCACTCCTATGACCTAATATCCTTATTTACATGGCGAACTACATTACATTAATGGTCATTTAGCAGACGCTTTTATCCAATTACACTTTAAACCCATGGCTATTTCTTTTTTACATTTTGCCCGGGGAGCAATTAGGGGTTAGGTGTCATGCTCAGGGACACGTCGACTTGAGACATGGGGCAGCCTGGACTCAAACCACCAACCTTGTGCTTCCCAGCACACCTTCTCTAACCCATGCGCCACGACGACCCCCGAACGAGATTGTGTCTCTGATGTTTTGTCTGACGCTTCATCTTTTTTTCAGAAAACAACTGCAGGCCAGCAAAGAAGTTTAAAGTCTTCCTGGAAGCACGACTTTTGTTTAAAGTAAGGATGGAAATTTCTTATTTCAGCCTTGACGGTGTGGCAGACAACAATACACGCTGCCCCCCATGAATTGTCTTAATTCTGTCTTTCTGATTTCAAAAGTTACACTACAGTTAACTACAGTACAGCACCACGTGCTCTGAAGACTCTCTAATAACAAACTCCTGTTTGTGTCCCCTCCTTAAGACCATACCACTTATCCCCTCCCCCTTCGGCGCTGTCCCACAGTGCAGCCACGCCCACAGAAAAGTCTCCATCGCTTCTCCATAGGGTCAAAAGGTTCTCAGAGGATGGATCCAACAACAAAGCAAAACGGAAGAAGGAGGAAAGTGAACCAGAGATGCAAGAGGACGACAAACAGGGGGTCCGGGGAGGGGCGGACAAACCGAACGAAGGCCGAAAAATGCAACCAGAACTGCTGAAACGAAGCTCCACACCTTCAGCCAGTCCACTTTCGAAGGAGTGCCTGGTGAACGGCAGGGTAAGAGACGTGTTGCTGCGATCATCCATTTAAAGACACTTCTTATAGGTGGCTGTAATAAATTTCGCATGTTACATTTGTGGTTGATTTCCTCCGTGTGGTTTTAAGGTGTCAATCGATTTCTTTTCAACAGGATCAGTCTGCACAAAACCGGAGTCTGAGCCAAAGGCCAAATGTCTGTCCTGTTTTCAAGAAGCCAAATGTGAAGGCAATATCCATCGAGGGCTTTTTTAGGAGTAAGGCAAATCCCCAGGAGGATCCGAATGCCTCACGTGAGCAACAGAAAGGAAAAGATGGTGTGTAGTTTCATTCATCTTTTATTATTGTGTGAAGTGTTTCTTCATGAATAGCGTGAACATTGCTGCCTCTGCTCTCCCAGCTGGATGGAGGCCCAAAGTGGAGCCCGCGTGGAGTATTGACCCGGCGCTCGGCCCGTCCATGTACGACAGCGAGTGGAGAGGCGACGAGGTAACGTCACATGACGTGCTCAACTCAAATGCGCCATCTTTTAAATATTTTTATTGTTGCTAACCCTGAGAAACATAATCTAATTTTCTATGTCTGACCTAAATAGTTTTTTCTCCTCACAAAATACTTTTTAACTTGTTTACCTGGCAAATAAAAAGCCAGTAAAAGTGTCCATGGCCACTGTTTATTTTCACTGGTATTTTATGTGGTCCAAATATGTCTTGATTTAAGATGAAGGAAGAAGAAGAAGAAGATGATGAAGAGTGCCATGGAGAACTGTTGGATTCTGATCGCACTTGGGTCAGTCACAGCCTGCTGCCGCGCCGGGGAGAAGCAGCCCGGGACCGAAGGGACAATGTGTCTGGTGAAAATCAACTACAACTCACTGAAATGAGTGGATACACACAACGCCTGCAGCGAGTCTCACATGCGGATGCTATTCTAGGACTAGGAGAGAAGGCCAACGACAGTTTGGATCTGATGTTCGACACGACGGCTCACGGGGAATACCAGTCCTGCAGCGATTCCCACCTGGACCACAGCCAGCCTGGTGAGGACGACGAGGACGATGGAGGAGAGGAGGACAACGGTGGGCTTTTAGATTCAGCTAAACTGTGGCTGTTGTCACAAGTGTTTGACATTGGATGTCAGTTATTGAATCTTTGTTTTAATCTCAAGATGAACAACAACCTCAAGAAAAAACTATGAGCGACGGTCACGGGCACAAAGCAGGGTAAGAAACACCGGGAGCTTGATTGCAAGTATATTTTATGCAGAAAAATGTATGCACTTAAAAAAAAAAATCATACAATTTCCTCCAATCTACATTTCCTCTGATTGGATTAGACGTCCAACGTTTGCACACATGGCCGTGGTTCGCAAGAAAGACGAGAGAAGAAAACTAAAGGGCACCACCTGCAAGGAATGTGAACTTGTAAGTATTTTGACCATAAAGCCGGCAAACGCTGACAGGTTGCACCTGTGATCCCATTTTAACCATGTCGATGTCGAACAGTACTACGCCCATCTCACAGAGGAGGAGAGGCAGGTGAAGCTTTCTGCATGCTCGAGGCACCGGTTTCTATATATTCCTCCAAGTACTCCAGAAAACTTCTGGGAGGTTGGATTCCCCTCAACGCAGACCTGCATAGAAAGAGGTAAAGAACCGACGTTCACGGCTTCGTTAGACCAACCATCCCACAGAACATTAATACGCGTCCTTCTCACGCTGTGGTCAGTGTCAACGGCATCCCATAATGATACGTGGAGATACTGAGAGATGTTTCGCTCGTAGGTTATGTCAAAGAAGAGGAGAAACCTCAGGCGCGTACTCGGAGGAGACAACCATTCAACGCTTTATTCTCCCAGAAGAACCAGCAGCAGAGCTAAGCAGCACTGGAGGAACTGGTTGAACAGGCTCGTTACTGTTGGAACCACTGATGTCCTTTATGTTTGACAGGTGTGTCCTTGGATGAATAAAAATAACCCTCCTATGGAGTCTTTCCAGCAAAAGAGTTTTCACTTTGCTTTACTGCAGCGCTTCATTAGGGAGGGAAGGGAAATGTCACTGTGATTTGCTAAATTACAGCACACGTGGTTCAAAAATCCAATTTTATTTGAACAGATTGTCGACACATTGAATGAAAAAAAAAAATTGTGCAAAAATAAAATACATTTTTTGGTAAAAAATAAAATCTCTAGTGCAAGTTGTATGTTAATCCGGCAAAACTGCAATTACGTCATCACAACCGAGAGTTTCTCTGAGAGAGCAGCAGCAGCGCCTCTCCGACGTGACTGATGATCACACTGCAACCACAGGGACATATAGGAATCATTCCCCGTTTGATAATAACGGATCTACGCATCGCAGGCAGCCGATGAGCTTACCAAATAAGAGAAGACGCATTCACGTCCATGTAGAAGAGGAACGGGGAGAGGCACATGGCAGTGATCTAGAAGGTTCAATAATCTCAATCAGTACACTCATTAGAATTCAGGCTTTTGATTGAATTAGGATGCTGTTTTGGATATCGCGCAAATAACATTTTGTTTCCCCTGAATTGAAATGTAAAGAAAATCTGATCTACAATCACCTTGGACAAGAAAATCCAGACCTCAAAGTGCTCCAGGGAACATCCACTTTTTAACCTGACTGTGGCCAGCAGCAACATAAAACCCAGCAGTGCACTGTGAAATGAGACAAAGGGGACTTATCACACTGAGAACAGACTGACATTCATTATTTTTTAAACATTTAGAAAGTAACTCCTCTGGTAGGGAAATCCTAACAGAAATTAAATCACAAACGATAATTGTTATACTTAAACCCCGTTTCTAGGACTTGTATAAAGCAAAGGTCTCACCTGGCAAAGCAACCACAGTGAAATGTGTAGGATCGAAGGGAGGGGAACTCCAAGGCGCCCATGAGGTCACCTGCACCGCGACAAAGATCCGTTAACGGGGTTCAGATCTGTTGAGACTTTTCTCACTATAAAAGAAAACCCAATGTGCTGAGGGTGATTTGTACCTGTTGGATGAGCTGCGACGGCCAGCAGCAGCACGCTGTCGGGAACAGGAAGAATAAGCTGAAATTAGTAAAAGAATAACTGGAAGGTTCTCTTAGAACATCGTGACGTTGAGACGACAGTCACGTAAACCCCTCTGATGAGTAGTCATGGATGTTAGTAGAGAAACAAATAGTTATTGTTTAATCGTTTAATTAATCAACAACGCTGCCATCTTTATCCTATTTATCGTTCACCCGATCCAGGTACCATGTAATCATTATTCTTACCTGAACAAGTAGTTGATGCAATGCTGTTCCAGGTCACTACAGTGAGATCACAAAAGAACCGGCGTCACTGACTTTTAAGTCCAATGTGGGAATTTTGGTAAACAAGTGCAGTTTTTTCTTCATTTGGTTTTATCTGCGGAGTGGTTTAAAAATTTTAAGCTAAAAAAAAAAACAGCCAGCTTGGCGTTAGATAAGAAACATTTGCACAAGTACGAAACACAGTTTCAAGGAAACCGATTATCGATATTTTAGCAAACCACTGACCTCAAATTACTGGACGTGTAGTGACCCTGAAACACCCTGTAGGCCCCTGAAAGATGACATGGTACAACTGGCAATTACCGCTGTTAAAGGTTTACGGCGTCCCTCAAGGCTTAATCCTTGAGCTGCTAAAGTTGTCATTGTGCAAACTCTCTGGTCTACTGCAGTTCACAGTGTGGCATCTCGGTGTATTCTTAGACTTACCAACACAGAGCAGATGACCAACAGCCCAGAGGTAACCACTGGGGCCAAACTGCAGGGCGAGCACACATGGACATGGAGAAGATGTTTTTGTTGTACATGCAGCAGAACGTGTAAGTGTAAAATGATGGTGGTGTAATAAATGCCCCCATTTGATGATGAGAAGTTATTACCTGAGGATCATGAAAGGGGAGGTTGATGGCTGAGAGCAGCATGAAGCAGATGCTACGAGAGGAAACACATTTTAAAATAAAGTCATGCGAAGGGGAACATTTCCTATTTGATTTTTGTATTCGTTTGCCACCTATATCAATTTCCACCACCTATATTCTTCTTTCCTGGGGTAACTAAATGCTGTGTTATATAATCTACTGCAAACTGTGTATCCTTACTAAAAAGGTCTGTCTATGGAGACTATGAAACATTCCTGCAAATGCTTACAGTTTTATTCCCTCTTGATAAAACGTACAGTTCTCCTACTCGGGTGAATGAAACTCGAGAAATGCACAAACCTGATTAACTTCAGCCATTGTGTCTTCTGTCAATAAAAATAAAAGATCAAAGCTTATTTTACAGGAGGAAAATAAATGATATTAGTACAATAATAAGGGTTCGTCCAGTGTCATGAAGCAGTTCATTTGCCTCTGTTGTATGCATGTGTGTGTGTATGTATGTGTGTGTATATTTGCATACAGTGAGCAGGCGGTGCTCACCTCTCGTTTGACAACCTTCAAGAGAACATAACTAACAACGTGTGAGGAATTCTGCAGAGTGAAGAAAACAGGAATGTCCTGTAGAAAAAGAAAAAAAACAAGGCTATTGGATACTGTAAGTGCTGAACATTGCAAATAGACTAGTTTAAATGTGTACAGATTATGTGACGTACTATATGCGATAAGGCCCTGGAGCCGGCATATATGTTTCCCACAAAGAGGACGGAGCCAGGGAGCCAGGAAAGAGCCGCTGACCTGTCCAACAACATATCAAACAAAGCTCTTCATAATCAAAGTGCTAATTGGCAGCCAGTGAAAACACTTTAGTGTTATTACTCCAATATAATATGAAAGGTACCTGCTGATGCGGCTCATTTCCACCCATCCAAACCTCCCACAGAGGAGAAGCAGGGCGGCCCCGATGAATGTCTGCCATCTACAAATACGTGGGACATTTAAATCACGGTGCAGCTCTAGATTTAAATGTATTGCTTTTGAAATATTTTTGAATTCATAAATGAAAAATGTGGATAATGGGCTCCCCTTGTAATGACAATGAAATCGTACAGCATGAATCCAGACTCACCCTTGAAATAATGTTGGATATGTGAATTTTAACACGGACAGGACAAACTGAAACAAATATGCAAGACACTGTCATTGTGGTTACTTATTTTTTTATTATAATAAATAATCGCACTCGCGCCAAACCCCTTTAAAATGTCCACAAGTATCTGCACAAACTCATTCTTCGATTCGGCCTAATTGTACATTCTCAACAACTCGAACCACTCGTACAACTTCCACTGTTTTGTGCCAAAGTTCAGGTTGAGAAAGTGTTAACAACATTACGTTTTTGTTTTTTTTACGAGAAATAATGTAGCCTACTTTTACTTTTAACGCAAACCCACTTCGACTTCGTCTCACCTTATTCGTGAAATATGATACAACGAATACAGCAGTGAACGCAACGCCAGCCACGTGTCTTCTCCACTGCATGTTGACCTCGGACACGCTGCAGCAGCGACATGATGCCTAACAGCAAATCATACTTTAGCCTTATTATGCGAACTCCGTCTCAAAATAGAAACATTTCAAGATCGGAAACTTCCCTCACAGAATGACACGTCAAGACGTTGTGGGACAAAGATCGTCTATGTTCGAGACGCTCGTTCACCGACCCGAACGTGCGTCACGGTGCTTCATGAAGGCGCCTATTGTCGTTTTTCTGCAAAGTATTCGATCTGAAAAGTTCAACATTTGGAAAACATTTGAAAACATTTGGACATGTAGCCAAACGCAGGATTTGTATGTAGTTATGATACGACGATTGAGAGTCAATTCATCTAAAAGTACATTGATGTAGTATTAGGTTGAGGAATGTTCCTTGCAAATATGCATGACAATTTTTGTATATATTACTTCTAAATCAGGGCTGTAGTGGAGGGTAAACGCACGTAAACGCCGTTTACGCCGTTGAGAGTTAAATAGATATTGTTCGTTGAATTTGAGCTATTCCAAACCTTTACTAAGCAATAGTTGATTTGACCACTCTCATGTAGGATTATGTACCGAGCACCGGTGCCATATTGGTGAAATGAAATGACAAAAATGACACAAATGACTATATGAACATATATTTATTGAACTTTAACAAAACTGAAAAGTGCAAATGTAAAACAAATCTTTTTTGTGGGATTTAGTCCAGCGCTTCTTTAATGTGTCTTGTCCATATATTGAAGCAATAATGATAACAAATAAACAAATAATAAATAGTAAATGCTTTATATAGCCACATATTAAAATAAGAAAAGCTTCCGAAGCATCACGGCCGAGGCGAAAACATGGGTATTTTCTTTTAGTTCGTCCGTAAACTCACATTTACGTTTCGGCATGGCTGCAGATGTGCTGTAAACAATGCAACTAGTGGAGCCGGCAAAGTGCTCAGTGTTGCCAGATTGGAAATGGTGAAGTATCGTACCAAAGGCTCAAAATGGTCGTATTTGGAGGATAATTATCGTGTGTCTGGCAACATTGAGATCGGTCGACCAATGCCTGTTCTCTCTACAGTCAGAGCTCGCGAAAGAAGGTGGAACGTAAGGGAGACACCATTTCCAAAACTTGTAAGGGCGTAATAACTAGTTTGTGAAAGACCCAGAGAAACACAAATATACGACGAAGCAAAATCCCAGACGTTTTTGGAATCTCTGCCGGACGCATTTTTTAGGTCTCAAAAAGAGGACATGTCCGGGGAAAAGAGGACGTTTGGTCACCCTAATTAAACAGTCTGATAACTCTGTCCTCGCAGCAGCTAACGATGGCTCACCGCTTGTGTAGCTACAGCAGCTAGCTAGCCATCTACCTTCTATTCGTATTTATTTTTCTACACAATAGAAAAGCGATGTGCTCTCGTGCCTCATGCAGCTCTTCTGTGTTGCACGTCAATACTTTGAGACAAACAAGGAGCGTCAATCTAACGTAAATGCTTTTCAATAAATGTCTTTAGTTCCTGCACAATGAACATGAATCTCAAATTATATGATTAATATTCCCCAAATTCCAATTAACTACATTTCCGCTGTTACAGAGGGGAAACACTGTAATCATACTGTAAACTTTCAAAAATTCATATATTGTGCATAGTTTGAAGTGAAAAAAAACTTTTCTTCAATTGTGTTTGAATTCGGAAAAACCCAAACGATACTCATCCCTACTCTCATGTCTGCGCGCTCAACGTGAAGCTAAAGCCAGCCGCTGGTTAGCTTAGCATGAAGACTGGAGACAAGAGGGCTCGAAAGGGATGTTTAAAAATCCGGATTCAACACTTTACAAATTTCCGACTTGATGAAACAATGGACAAAAATTGTTCTTTATTTATTCTTAAAGTGTTTGCTTTCAAGATCAAGATGGGGTCATAGAAAAAAACAAGTAGAGCAAAGTGTTTTATACACCATGTCAAGTGGATGAGCTCCATCAATACAAATACACCGTCCACACACACACATTTACTCTAAAGGCTCATTTGCATATTGTAGATACCTTCACTGTAACCATAGAGACGTTACATCATGATGGAACATTTCTCCATGTTCCATGTTCTATGCTCCGTTCACCACAGCATAAGAACACAGTCTGTTGCACATCCAGTCAGTCAGTTTCAAACCTCGCATCTACACACTGAAGTTTTCCGGACCTACACTTGCAGAAAGCAACCATGGCCTCAGGAGTCTGTAGAGGGGACGAAGACGCGTACTGCTGCACTTAACAGAGCTCAAGGTAAGTGAGGAATCCAGACAGACTGCAGCCTTACTGCTGTGAATGATGTATTGGTCTATCGGGTGGAGAAGGCTGTGATTTAGAGCTAATACCTTGAGAGAAGCCTCTGATTCCTGCTGTTGTCATGTAGATGTACACAGAGATGCATTAACATATAAAAGTACTTACACAGAGACGCACTAACATATAAAAGTTATTTGAGGAAATTGCACTTCTGAGTTTGTACCCTTTGGTTGAATACACTTATTGTAAATCGCTTTGGATAAAAGCGTCAGCTAAATGAAATGTAATGTAATGTAAAAAGTACTTACACAGAGACGCACTAACATTATTGGTATGCACAGAGACTAGCTAACATAAAAGCAAATACAGAAATACAGTTTAACACCACAATATATATGTAGATTACGCATCCATACCAACATGGAATAATTAAAATG